AGAAGGATTGAGAGAAATTTCATTTTCAATGCATTGAAGAACATAGGGATCATGAGATATTCTGGCACAGGAGAAATCAAAAGAAACAGAGGTTCTTCCATTTCCCTTATTATTATGATAAAGGCTTATCAGGTATATTTGATTGCATCCTATATAATAAAAAGTTTAATATCCAAATCATTCAAAACAGCAGAACGCCCAGTCAGCAGGGGTTGGGGCTGGTGAGCAGGTGGCCCCAGGCAGCCAAGGCACATGCCAGTGGGCAGATGGAGGGGACGGCAATCGGGGGGGGGGGGTGGTGGCAATGACCAGCGGTGGCAATCGGACAGGAGAAGGAGGGCGGTGGCAACCAATGGCCGATGCTCTCTCCTGATCGGGCTGCCTGGTCACCTCCCTCAGAGAGAGCAAGCCTAAGCTGTCAGTCAGACATCCCCTGAGGGCTCCGGGACAGCGAGAGGGCACAAGCTGGGCTGAAGGACCCCATCCCCGTCTCCAAGTGCATGAATTTTCATGCACCAGGCCTCTAGTTAGCTTATAAACACCTCACTACCTTACACAGCTCAGTATGATTGTAAATGCCACAATGATTTTGATAACTTTTAACAATTGCAGAAGAATAAAATGCTGGGTTAGAATCATGAATAATTCTCATGACAAATAAATTAAAGCAAGAAAATGGGCAAATTTCAAACAATAGCATATAACTACCTCTAAAGTAATATAGGCTCTTCCCTGGTCAGTATGGCTCAGTGGTTGAGCATCAAACCATGAACCAGGATGTCATGGTTCAATTCTGGTGAGGGTACATGCCCCAGTAGTGGGCTCAATAGTAGGAGGCATGCAGGAGGTAGCCAATCACTCTCCCCCTCTTCCTTCCTCTCTGCAGTCAATATAAATATGTATATTTTTAAAATGAATGGGTAGGAGCTCTGGGTTTTGGAGTTGCCAGACCCAGTTCTGCCATGAAATGTGGCAAATCTGCTCATCTCGGCAGAGTTTAGAGTCAGTAGACTGGAGCTGGTCAGAGAGAAAGCTACAGTTTCATTTTTTGTGTTTTTCTTTATTTGTTTGTTTTAAACCCAGAGCACAGTTTTAAATTGAAGCTTTGGTACAGGAAGGGAGTTGCGGACTCGAGGTGCCTAAAGAGAGGCTGGGGTGGGAAGCATTGTGGGGAGATGTAGAAAAGCAGCAGCCAGGAGTATTTGGTGGTAGGCCCCCAAACCAATAAGGACATTTTTTCCAGAAATGAGCAAGTCACAGGGCAGGAAAAAGAAAAGATCCCGTGCTAGGTGATAGAGTGTGGCTCACCCTCAGGAGCTCTGCATGCCACACCCTGCATTTTGACCTTTGTAAAAGAAACAAAAGCAGAGGCCAAGCCTATGGATTAGAACAGTTACAAGAGCATCTTGCAAGGTAGAGCTGATAAAAACTGCAGGTTTTCAGCTGACACCACTGGTCTCCATACAAATGTTAGGGGCAAAAACAGAATATTGGGGACTAGCTATGGTTATGAAAAATATTAAACATGTTCTGTTAATCATGATTGCCTTGTGTTGGTTAAAGAAACCATTCTGACTTGGCTGGGAGTTGTACGTCCCAGGGGCCAGGTAGTCAACCTTGGAACCATTCTCATTCAGGAACTGCATATTATCATGGAAAGATTAACAGCCTTGTGACCCAGACAGAGTCCCACCCCAGTCTCCTATTTTCCCATGCCCATAATCCCTACTTCCCCATGTAATCTTTGTCTTACCCTTTATAAGCAGCTGGCTCATGGGGGGCTGCAGAGCAAATTTTTGTGGATGACCTGCTGCTCTTCCATACTGCCGGCAGTATTGGAATAAACGCTCACATACGATTCAACCCTCTCTCTGCTTAATTGGCTCAAGTAGTGACAGGCAGCATGGACCCATTGATTGTCTGGTTACTCAAGGATCTCTGTCCAGCCAAGGGCAGAGTAATATTTTAGGCCGTAGCATGGAGTAGCAGCTCTGGGACAGGAAAACACACCTACCACATTCCATGAAAGCTAAACAGCATCTCCCCTGCCTAAAGCCCTTTCAGAAATAGACTTTTGAGTGATTAAGATTGACAGCTGGCTAGCAGGCAAAGGTGGGCAGAGATGGAGCATGGGGAACCAGGGGAATTGCTGACTCAGCCCTGCAAACAAATCTACATTAAGAGGACAGATTGGTCCCTTCCTGCTTGCTGCCAAGACCTGTGGAGACAGGCACAAATGGTGGATATGTAGATCACATGGAGCTTCCAGCAGGTTGCTGAAAGCCAAAGGAGGACAGTTCCTGACATTGGTTAGCATCCCAGTATCTCACAAGAAGATCAGAATTGGTAGATTGAACAGAAGAATAGGATGCAAAGGGAGCTCCCATGGGACACTAAACTCTGCTGAAAACACCACTCCACTCACTTTTATTTCTTTTGTTCTTTTTTTCTCCCCTTTTTTTCCTTTGAAATTTATCTTCATTATCTGTCTGCTTTATGGATTTGTTAGTATTCTAGTCTATTGTTTCACTCATATCTAATTTTCCTATTCCTTTTTCTTACTCAAATTTTTTTTTCATTACTCAAATTTTTTTTTCTCTTTTCTTTTAGTCCAGTTTTCTCATCATTTTTCATTTTCTTATTTTAGATCTATCTGCTTTCTCCTGTATTTTCCTTTTCAATTTTTTTCTTTTCTTTTCATCCTTTATTTTAAACCATTTTCCTTCCTCCATTCTCATAATATTTTATACTTCTTTATTTCAGCTCTGCATCTACATATCCATTCCTCAGTCTTTCTTCTTGTTTTTTTGTTTGTTTCCTCCACATATTTTTTTCCTTTTTTTATTTTCCTATCATTCTCTCTTCCCTGGTGGTTGCTTTTGTTGGTGCTGTAGGGGTCTTTGTATGCTATTGTTTTGCTACTTTTGTTTCATGTTTTGTTGTGCTGTATTTTGTTCTGTTCGATCAGCACCTCAATGACAGGTTGTATAACGTGGGCGGGGATGAGCCACATAGTCAGCCAGCCTGAGAGGAGACTCCATTCAAGAATGGGACAATAGCCGAAACCGGTTTGGCTCAGTGGATAGAGCGTCGGCCTGTGGACTCAAGGGTCCCGGGTTCGATTCCGGTCAAGGGCATGTACCTGGGTTGCGGGCACATCCCCAGTGGGAGATGTGTAGGAGGCAGCTGATTGATGTTTCTCTCTCATCGATGTTTCTAGCTCTCTATCTCTCTCCCCTCCTCTCTGTAAAAAAATCAATAAAATATATTTAAAAAAAAAAAAAAAGAATGGGACAATAACAGTCAAAACCCAACTATAACAGTAGAAGCCAAATAACTCAAGTAAGGGGCTTTCCTAGAGCACCCAGATCTAAGAGACTGCAACATTGGGTCCCACAAAACACCTACTACGTAAGACCACCCAACAAAGTCTGGGAGGCACAGCAGTTTGATTGAACATATAGAAACAAATACAAAGGAACAAAAAAAATGGGGAGACAAAGAAATAATCCCAAAATGAAAGAAAAGGAGGAATCACCAGAAAAGGAACTAAATGATATGGGAGAAGGAATTTGTCAGATAAAGAATTCAGAGTAATGGTAGTAAGAGTGCTCAGGGCCCTAACTGGTTTGGCTCAGTGGATAGAGCATCGGCCTGCGGACTCAAGGGTCCCAGGTTCGATTCTGGTCAAGTGCATGTACCTTGGTTGCTGGCACATCCCCAGTGGGAGTGTGCAGGAGGCAGCTGATCAATGTTTCTCTCTCATCGATGTTTCTAACTCTCTATCCCTCTCCCTTTCTCTCTGTAAAAAAATCAATAAAATATATATATTTTTTAAAAAGAGTGCTCAAACAATTCAGTGAGAACTACAAGCACTTTAATGATAATTATAAGGGGCTTAATGAGAGCTACACAAATATGAAAATATAGCTTAAAACAATAAATAAGAATCAATTAGAAATGAGGGACAACATAACTGAAATAAAGAACAACCTGAAATGATTCAACAGCAAACTAGAAGAAGCTGAGAACTGAACCAGTGAATTAGAAAACAAGGAAGAAAAAAACACCTATTCAAAGAAGCAAATGAAAAAAAATTTAAAAAGTAGGAGGAGAGTCTAAGGGAGCATGGGGCAACATGAATTGTAACAACATTACAGGGTACCAGAAGTAGCAGAATCTGAGAAAGGAACAGAGATCCTGTTTAAAGAAACAATGGCAGAAAATTTCCCTAACCTGTGTAGGAAAAACTCACTCAGGTTCAGGAAACACAGAGTCCCATTCAATATGAACCCAAAAAGGCCCACACTTAGGCACATAATAATTAAAACAGCAAACATTAAAGATAGAGAGAGAGAGAGAGAGAGAGAGAGAGAGAAAGTTACCTACAAGGGAGCTCCCATTAGACTGTCAGCTGACTTAGCAATAGAAACACTTCAGGCCAGAAAAGAATGGCATGAAGTATACAAAGTAATGAAAACCAAGGGACTGAACCCAAGATTACTCTATCCAGCAAGGCTATCTTTCAGAATTGAAGGTGAAATAAAGAGCTTTGCAGGCAAAAGAGGATAAAAGAGATTACTGCCACCATACCTGCATGGCAAAAAATGCTAATGGGACTACTTTAAGAAGAAGAAGAAGAAATAGAAATAGAAGAATAGGGGCATAAAGAATAATAATGGTATTTTTTAAAAAAAGGAATAGGCCCTAGCTGGTTTGGCTCAGTGGATTGAGTGTCAGCCTGTGGACTGAAGGACCCGGGTTTGATTCCAGTCAAGGGAACATGCTCCAGTTACGGGCTTAATCCCCAGTGGGGGGTGTACAGGAGGAAGCCTATCAATGATTCTCTCTCATGATTGATATTTCTATCTCTCTGTGCACTCTCTTCCTCTCTGAAATCAATAAAAATACATATTTTTTTAAAGAATAAGAATGGAGAGAGAGACAAAATGGCGGTGGTATAGACGGACGTGTCCCATGCCTTGTCCCGGAGCAGATAGGGTGAGCAGCTGAAACCAGTAACATCCAGCCCCAATTGGCAGAGGAGATTCAGCTGGGAGACAGTTTGCAGCTGGGAAAGGCAGAGGACTCCAGGAGAAAGGTAAAGTCAAGGCTCTGGGAAGGATAATCGGCCAGACCTCTGAGCCCTGAGGATCACAGGGAATCCACAAGGCACAGGCTTGGGCCGCATCCCTTGGGACGGGCGCAGTGGAAAAAAAGGTACGCAGAACTGCTGGTCGGCAGGGGATTCTAGATCTGGGTCCACAATCAGGAAAGGCTGAGGAGTGCCAGCAGAAGAGCGCGCAGAGGCACAGCCTTTCCCCCCTCCCAGGGGATTCTAGATCTGGATCCACAGTCAGGAAAGGCAGAAGGGTGCCAGCAAGAGAGGAATGCGCAGAGGTGCAGCCTCTCCGGCCTCTGTGGCTTGTGCCTTTCTCCATAGAGCCTAGTTCATAGGACCTTTCGGATACAGACACTTACCCGTGGCTGGAGCGTGGAAGAAGGTGTGGAATTATGGAATCTGGGGGGAGAGGGGGATCCAGGAGTAGTGGCAGCGAGTGTGGTGGTGAGTCATGCCTGAGCCTGGGACTTGGGCAGCCATTTTGCACTGAAGAGATAGCCCCTCCCCTCCAGTATCCAGGCAACTAATACAGCCACACCCAGATTGGTAAAAGGATTAAAAAACAAAAAAACAAAAACCTAAATATTTAGTCCCTGAGAGCACAAAGGGGCTAGACTAGAGACTTTCTGTCCCAGCAATTGGATCCTGAGAAACACTACAGTACAGAAGACTGGGATCTTAAGCCAGCCAACTTCACTTTTTCATTTTTATTTTATTTCTTTTTTATTACTTTGTTATCCCTTTTTTTTGTTTTCCTGTTTTTGTTTGCTTTATTTTCTATTTCTTCTCACATTATTTTTCCATCACTCTATTTTATTTTATTTTTATTTGCTATTTTTATAACATTTTTTAAATCAAATTTTTTGTAAATTTATTATTTTTTTCTTGTTCTCTTTCCTCTTATCCACCCATCCCCTTTCTACTTCCTCTATACTGAACTGAGATCCTCCCCATATTCATCCAACTCTTAACCTTATCTTCTATATATAAGCTCAGCATCTACAGATTCTGCCCCCACCCTCTTTGCTGGGGGTTTGGTGTTCGTATTTTTTTCTCTTTAATTTTATTGTTATTATTTTTTGTTTGTTTGTTTGTTTTGTTTGTTTATGTATTGGTTCTGTGGTGTTTTCCCCATATATATATATATATATATATATATATATATATATATTCTCCTTTTCTTCCTTCTTTTCTCTCTTATCTTTTTCGCTCTATTCAATATCATTTATGCTCTCTTTTCTCACCCCTAATTCTCTTTTCTCAGGTGGTCACTTATAGTAGGGTTTTTGTTGTCGTGAGTACATTCGTGCTTTGGTCCCTTTGTGTTGTGTCTTGTCGAGGTGAATTTTCTCCTGTCTGGCCAGGTGCTAGAGAGTGAGCCTCATAACCAGACACCTGGAGCAGAATCTTCATCCACAAACAGGTCAATAACACCCCAGACCCAACTACAGAGGCAGGAAGAAGGCAGCAGTGAGGGAGAGAGCGTGAGTCAGTGAGGGACCAAAAGAGGAGTGTGTG